ACAGGTGCCATCCACTTATCTTGTGAGGTATTTGAAGGTTGCACAACAGTCTTTGACTGTGCTGGTTGGAACAACTTTCCGTACTCTTCGTTCCATCAAGGAGCATCATTCTTGTCGAACACGAACCGAGGGACTTGTGGCCTACTGTCTTGCAGTGCCATTTCTTACCCGCTTCATACTTCTCAGCGGCCTTTTCGTCAAACACGGCATTGCATTTTGGGCATAATACAGCCTTCGACCTACTTACCCTGCATTTCTCTTGGAAATCAGTCAGACTTTCGCCAGCTTGAGGGTAAACTGCCTCGAGCTTCTCTTTAGACTTATTGTCGGGACTATCAGTAGTCTCGACCATCATGCATTCAATTATTTTAGTTGTCTGGTGCTCGTTGAAACCTTCAGTAGCCTCCACCATCATGCAGTCGTATAACTCAAAATATAAGGCTTCTTTGACTTTCAGAGGATCCGTGTCCACTTGCATTTTGGGCCTTTCACCAAATTGAAGTCGGCCTTCCTTCAAAGCTTTATGCAACAAGTCCATGAAAAGAACACATTGAGATGTCTTATGACCAAGGAAATTATGAAATTGACCAAATCCCTTTTTTTTCCTTTTGTTCTAAAGGGGGATCTTTTGCCCCAGGAGGGACAATAATCTGACCATCTTTCACTAAAAAATCAAATATTTCATCGCACTTAGATACATCTAAAGTATACTTTTTAGCGACATATTTATCTATTTTTCGTTTCAACCAATTTTTTTTCCCATTTGACGGTTTTAATGATTTGCGTGTATATGGGGGTCATAGCTTCAGTTCAGCCACGTTGACTGCGTTATTATCGACAAGCTCCTCATCGTTAGACGAGTATTCGTCAGCAGTAATGTATGAAACTTTCTCTTTTTTACGATATCTGTTAGCTTGGGTTTTCTCATTTTTAAGGCGTTCAACCTGACAGGCTCTATCGGTTAGCTGCGCCATATCTTTGAGATATTAAGTGTCTAGATTTTTCCTAATCAAATAATCTAGGCCGCCAACCTTTATCTCGACTAGTTCATGCTCAAGGACTTGTGTGAAGCATCGCACTTTCAACAGTCTAAATCTGTTAAGATATTGGTCCACCGACTCTGTAGCCTTTAGCTTGACGCTGGCTAACTCTTTCAAACTAATTTTTTATTGTCCCAATTGTGCCTAGTTATGAACGAACTGTGGGAGTAAAGTGGTGAACCAAGTAAATGCATTTTTGGTGAGGCAACTTGGGAAGTATTTCAATTTTACATCCTCATTGTTTGTTATGTCACCAACTTCGATTTGGTATCTGGTGACATGTTCGACGGTGGAATCCTCGGTCTCCCCGGCGAATTTGGTAAGCTTTGGCACCTTCCACCCTCTGGGCAATTCTATTTCCAGGACACAGTCAGGTAGTGGGGACGTATATGTTGGTCATCAAAGGCATGAGTTCGCCCTGTTGTGAACCATAATTCGTTCCACCATGGCTTCTAAGTTGGGTTCACCAGCCATGGCTTTGTGTCAAACTTGTTTGACCATATAGTCTGGGTCCTGGTTTCTATGAACTAAAACAACGGGAGACCTTTGGACCACCCTGGGTGTGTGTTTAACCTCGTGGGGATGCTGGTTAATCGTCTCGTCAAAGACTTTGTCTTGTCAAACTGGCGTCTCCAGTTGAGGTGGAGGCTTCTGTTGACCCAAGGCCCTAGAAGCGCCTAAAAAGTCACCTATTCGCGTCATCTGATTTGCCAATTATTGGTAACTCTTAGTCGAATCGTGTATTAGTGGTCTTAATATGGTACCCATTTGCTGGATCAACATATGGACCATTTCGTGGTTGCTTTCATCCATCTGCTACCTTATAACGACGACAAAACTTGATGTAAAAGTTAGAAACGAAAGTGACAGAACACTAAACCTTAGGGCCTTGTAGCTTGGTTCGTCAAAGGCCCTAACCCCTGATAGAGGGAAAACGTCAACAAAGAGCTTTCCCCAAAGAGTGGGCCACTATGATGCAGGCTCGACATAAACTCTGTCGGCATCCCAAAGGCTCGGGGGACTGACATTGTGAAACTAGACATATATTGCCCCCCAGTTCCTGTCACCATAGGCCTAGGCTCAGGCCTACGTGGCGTCATGACAGGCCCACCATGAGCCGTCGAAACCGCAAACACGGTGTCAGCGCCAATGTCGGTTGTTTGAGTCACAACCGCATTTCCCTCTAAAGACGGTTCTTTGTTTGGATGTGGTATCACCATTTTACCACTATGTAAATGCATACACCCAAACCTTCGGGTCCCACCGGGTGTGCTAATTTGTTCGTGCGCAGTTTTTGCGTGAACAACATCTGACCTCCTAACGCAGGTTTACTTGCGGGACCGGTCAAACGAGTCCTAGAACGCTTGGTTTGTGATGTATGGGAAAATGATGGAATAGTGTAGTTTGAAATAGGCTGAAAATTACTTCTAGCAAAGACTAAAATTTACATAAGGATGAATACGTAAACAAAAAGATCCAAAAAATAACCAGACAAGATACTCTAAAGTTAATGATGTAAATTGCTTATTAAAAGGAAAACATCGACGCGATCGTACGTTTTGCAGGAGTGAAAAACTCTTTTTTCTTAACGCTTTGGTACTCTTTCTTACAATATTACAAAAACACGCCTCTAAAATGAAACTAGGCATTGCCTTAAATAGGGAAATAAAATAACTGCCATGTTAAAGTTGGTGGTGACACTTGTTCGCCCACCACTTTTGTAACTTCCCACGTTCTCAGATTTCAAATATGTTTCCCGCTCGAATATTTTTCTCCTTGCATGGACTTCTCTGTTCGTTAGTCGACCCCGTCGACCGACACCGCCTAAGTCGACCCAACAACCTTCTTCTGCCGACGCCGACTCTCCTCATTTTCTTCACCATCTTTCCCCATTCTATCGACCGCCAACCAGTCTTTGTGTCGCCTCTCTTTAGTCGAAAACTTCTAGTCAACATGTAGTGATAGGTAAACCATAGGTTGTTTACATAAATCTATACTACTGATAGTGGATTCTTTTTCCTAGCTTGGTAGACCCCCAGATGTAGGTGATTTACACCGAACTTGGTTAACATATCTTGTGTTATTTATCATTCTGCAAATTTACAGTTCAATATTTTTTTTATTAACATGTTGTAACAGATGTTGAAACATCTACTATGGTTCTGTTGCTGATATTTAGAGTATTAGCTTATTTATTCTGCTCTTGTTTTAAAGTTATGCAGAGAACAATGTCGTGACATGTTGTTAGGACATCTTCAATCTGCTTGCCAGAATTTCAATAATTGATGCCAAAATTAGCATGAAAACCCAAATCAACAACCACAACCATATAAAAAATAACAATACTCAAATCCATACCTAAATAAACAACAACCTCTTCAACAATATCATTAACCACCTCATATGAGACAACAATATAGGCAATTCCAAGAACAAATTCAGCAACCCAACCAGATGAAAAAGTTTTTCGAAGAAGATGACGCGTTTAATCTGTTAGTTAAATTAACATAAAAAATCTTAAAAAGTGCACATCTAGATCAAGAAACTACAAAGGAGACACATAAAAGCATCATTCAATATCTTGAAACATAGATTTGACAGCCATCAAAGTAATTAGCAACTGAATCTTCTAATAGCTATGATAGAAATACAATTGACCGTCCAAAAAGAACACAATGTGTTATGTTGTAACGATTTAAAGAAGCAAGTTTATGAAGATATTAAAGAAAAAGCAATATAGAAAATCAACAATTAGGAAAGTTGATTTAAGTAGTGATGATGAAGAGGAACAAATTGTAAGTAGAGTTGAACAAGACGATATATTAAAAATAGAAAGTAGGGAAAATAAGGGAGAGAAAAACAAAGAAAAAGATAATGTGTAAGAAGAACACTATAAAAAATTTCTAATATTGTATAATAACTCACAGGCAGCGTTACCATTCTCTAATGTGCTTCAACAAATTCTGACTTATGCAAAGATTTTGAAGGAGCTCTTAAAAAAGAAAAGAAAATTTCCAAATACGGAGATGGTGAAATTATTAGAAGTGTGTAATGTAATCATTATAAAGAAACCTCCATCAAACACAACCCGACCCAAAAAACTTCAAGACTCATACATGTAAAATAAATAAAAAATGAAAGAGAATGAACAACTTATCAATGCAATGGAAAGCTTCAAATAAGTGCAATGTAGTAAAATAGAGACGTGACAAACTTCAATGCAATGGATATAAGCTATGAAAAGACCTGAAAATTAGGAAAAATTACTCTGTATCCCATATGAGTATCATTTCTTCGTATTCTCTGTTTTTGTTCTTTTGTAGAAATAGAAATTGAAATATGCACGCACAGAGAAAGATGGGCGTTTACTTTAACATAAGTTTTCGTATTTTAATTTCTAGATTGAATCCAAATTTTAATTTTCAAATTAGTTTGAAAATGATGTAATCTTATTTTTAATCTAAATGTTATCTCCCAGGCCGTCCAAATATTAATCTCCACAAAATTTAATATCTTGCTTTAAATATTATTTCTAATCTCTAAAATTGATTCATGTTTTAATTGCTTCTAAATTTTAAAATATATAGAATTAGAGAGTTACTACTATTTTTGAAATTTTGGATGTGCATATATAAACTCCTTTATTATTTAAAATGATGAAGTTTATTTGAACAGAATTGGCGGGCCTGTGAATGCGAGAGACGCTGATCCAAAATTTAAATCCAAAAATACATTAGTCGAGAGCGACAAGACTTCAAAAATTCGAATGGCAATTTCGTAAATACAAAAAAAATCACGGATTAAATTAAAAAATAAAAATAAAGTTCTTTTTATTAAACTTCAAAATTTAAACGGTTCTCGTCAATTTCATTTCATTTTGAAACCTTATTCTGGAGCTGAGCGATTAACAGATACATCCATTATCGTCATCACAATCACCATCATCATCATCAACCTCTCATGGTTAGGGTTTTTCTGCAAATTCAGCTACATCTCACCGATTCAATCTTTTTACGTTTCACGGTTTCATCCACTGAATCGCGTTCACCAAGAATATGCGTATTTTTGAAATTAGGGTTTTCCAAATTTGGGATCTTGTTCCGTTTCATTATTGCTTTATCTCATTTGTTTCCTTTGCGATTGCAGGATAGCCACGATTCTCACGATGCGAAACAAAGCCCTGCTGATATGACAGCATTTGTAAGTTGTTCCGTCGTTTTCTTGAATCTCTTGTTGAATCTTGATTTTTCTGTTTCTAATATGATGTTTACTAATTCGGATCTTCGATTTCTCTGGTTTGTATAATATTATGAATCTTGCTAGTTTACACTTCAATTCCGATCTGATATTTCAAACTCTAATCAGAATTAGGAAGCATAGAAACTGATAATGTGTTAGGATACCAGAAACTAGCTGAAGTGTCTATTGTTACATAGATCTGAGTGCCATATGCTAAATTCTGTGTACTTAGTTTCATGATGATTTTGTTAATGTAAATCAGTTTCTGACTTGTCTATATCCCACTTTTGAGCTTTTCAGGTGCAAAATCTTCTTCAGCAGATGGTGAGTTTTATGGTCTAGAATCTTGAAGGAGTTTTCCCAACTTTTAGATTATAATTGGCTGGCTGGTGCTGACTAGAATTTTTATTTTTGTTCAGCAAGGTAGGTTCCAGACCATGTCGGACTCCATTATTACAAAGAATATCCTTTTTTCGTATGCCTTTAATTTAATTAAGCAAGCTAATCTTAGAGACATGTTTGCTAAGAAAATTTATTTCAGAGAGGTGATTAACGCTTTGAATTTTTTTTCGTACTCATGAAATAAGATTTAGTTCAAAGAGGGTAGTCTGATTAGATGATGCTTATCACTTTTTCTAATGATGACTTTTCTAGTTTGCAATGTTTTAGATGATATTTCAGTTAAGGATTCAAATGGAACTTTTCTAGTTTTTGGTTATTTGATGCCTAAATTGTAGTCTATACCTTTGGCTTCAGTTTGCAATGTTTTAATTGTCTGTTTGTGTTGTCAGTGATACAAATCTATTTCTGTATGTAACTCTAAGCTAAAGTTTGCAGTACCCAATAGAAGGATGTATCAATAGGCAAACCAATAACATGATGCATGCATATGACGGTCGAGATTTAGTATAGACATTCACATGCCTTTATCAGTCATTGTTGGGATAGTTAGACTTACCTACAGAACATGTATTACAGCTATGAGCTTCGGTATCTTGGCAATGTTTTATGAAAATATAATGCAATTGCCAATCATCTGTGAAGTTGTGCATAGTATATTTCCTTATTTAGGGTAATTTATATTGGCTATGGCATGATAGAGAGTGTTTCCAATTTTATTAGAATATGTGTATTATAGACTTTTTCAATTCTCAAACTTTGAAAGTAATGTTTTTCTTAACACCAATGCACTTGATGATATGGGATGTCGTATAAATGAGTTGGAGCAGACCATCACTGAGCTGAGAGCTGAGATAGGAGTGGAGCTCTCTCAAGCACAAGCAGCAAAGGAACAAGAGTCGAACAAGGAAGAGGGTTCATCTTAAAGTGGCATTAGTTTCAATTTCTCATTGTTCTTGTCTTGCATTGTACGATGATTGGTATGGTGCATCAACTATCTTTGTCTAAGTAATTGTTCAGAAAATTAAACTGTTGTGTGGCTGAATACTGTTCATCATTTGTAGCTAAATCTCCTTACGATTTTACGATTTAGCAATATTCCTACAATTTTATATTACAAATCACTTTGTTTCTCTCCTACCCTCTGTTGTTCCCCCAGCATGCTGTAAGTCCATGAATGAATCCATGACCCCAAATCCTCGGGCTGATGTACTAATACTAAATTATTTGTACTTCATTCCAACATTTTGACAAGTGGTTCTACGAATTCAATTTTGTATTGTTTTTTTCCCTACTTTCAAAAGTAGAGTTGGATATTTCATATATCTTGGCATAAACACAGCACAAGGAAAGTGGAATTTGATAACAATTGTGCAAGGGCTGTTGCTGGAAAGTCTGTTATTGATAAACAATGTAAGACTTTCTTGTTGATGAACTGGCGTTTTGTAGTGATTGAATAGGCAAATAAGACTTTTTGGTTGATAACCTGCAATTTAGTAGTGGATATCTTTGGTAATTCAAAAAGATGATTTCAGAGTAGTAGTGGGTTGGGTATCGTAGACTCTTGAGCTGGATACCATAAGCATTAGATTTTAAATTAATTCAGATATGGTGTCTGTTTGAATAATTCATAGCTTTCCATTTAGAACACTTGAATTTAGAGTGCTGCTAAACTCCTAACAAATGTTGGGAGAAGTTAAGGAATGGAGAGCCCTACTGTAGATAGTAATGTTCTGAGGATTTTGATAAGGGTGTGTGGGTGGAGGCAACCATTTGTAAAGCTCCTTGTTTTAGGGTGTGCATGGATAACCATTTAATATGAACTAATATCAATTCATTTTTATGGTTATGATTTATAAATTAAATTACTTGTCATAAAAACTAGTTTAAATTTTATAACCGGTTTAAAATCGATTTTAAATGGGTTTTGATTTTAGTATAAATTATCTAATTAAATGTAAATTTTATTTCTTTTAAATTTATATCAATTTTTAAATTTAAATAGTTAAACAAGTTTTATGAGGTCTATAAAATTATTTCAAAAAATAAAAAAGCTGAATTTATTTATGTATTTTATTTAAATTTATATCTAAGAAAATTTTATTTATTTTGTTTAAGTATTCAAATTTAAATTTTGTTATAAAATTTATTCAAGTAAGTATTTAGCTGGCGACATCATTCAACGAAAAAAATAATTAAAAATTTATATCAATGAAAAGAAAATTATTCTAAAAAGTAAAAAAAAACTGAATTTTTTATTTATTAAGTGACTCCATTGTTTTGTATTTTAGCTGGTGACATGTTCTAACAATGAATAACAATGAATAATTTGTATGAGATGTTTTTCACTCTTGTTACTAGATACTGTACAATTTTTTGGGTTATGAGTTCTTATATTTGTGAAAAACGTTTGCTAGTAAGTTTAGTTTTGCTAAAACATGCTATTTTGCTGTAGTCTATATTTCTTTTATTAATTTTATCCTTTAATATATAACTCACAATAATTTTTATTAAAATTAATACTATCATTTTTCACATATCTTTTTATTATTAATTTTCTATATAACTTTATATTTTTAACTTTTTACGTAACTTTTATTTGAAATTAATATTAAATAAAAAAATATTATTTAAATTTTTACCTATTATAATTAAAAAAGCAGACACACGCTAGTTTTAAATAAAAATAATTTATTATGTCAGGATGAAATAGTTTAAAATTAACATGTATTAGAATCAACTTTTTAACACATTAGACTACTAAAACAATTTCTGAGAATAATATTTTTTTATTCTGAAAATTTGAAAAATCTAAATTTTTTCAAAAATTAAAATAATTCTGAACTTTCTTTAAAAAGAAAATATATTTACTAAAAAAATACATTTTAGAAAAAAAATATTTTTTATTTCAAAAATAGTAATAACTTTAAAATATAAAATTAGTTTATAATGTATATATTATAAAACATGAAAATGAAAAGAGACAAATATACAAATTTAATATATGATTGAAATTTGAATATTTAATAACTAAATCATATTATTATTATTATTGTTATTATTATTATTATTATTATTATTGTTATTGTTATTATTATTATTATTATTATTATTATTATTATTATTATTGATATTATTTTTATTGTTATTATTGTTATTATTATTATTATTATTGTTATTATTGTTATTATTATTATTATTATTATTATTATTATTATTATTACTACGATTACTATTATTATTTCTATTACTATTATTATTATTATTATTATTATTATTATTATTATTATTATTATTATTATTATTATTATTATTATTATTATTATTATTATTATTATTATTATAGTATTGGTTTATATTTAGATAATAAAATAAATATTTACATTTATATTTTATCATTTGTTTGAATTTTTAAAAATGGACTAATTTAAATATCAATTTAATTAAATATAATTGTTGTTTTTTCAAATATATTTTGCTTAAGGGTTTACGGCGTTATAGGCCATGGTCATAGAGACTCCAAAAAGGAAAAGGTCTGGCACAATTTAATACAAAGAGAGTTTGTTATTTCACTATTTTGTATCTCTTAGTAACTATATGCGGGTTTCTTAAATATTTTTAGATTTTAGAGATATAATTTTAAATTTATTTTTTTTATTTAATATTAAATTTTTTTAGAAATACATTTCTGAAATGTATTTTATTTGTTTTTAAGACATATTTTAAATTTACAAATAAATTATTTTCGAAGATATATCTTCAAAAATAATTCATTAGTAAATTTAAAGGTCTGACTCAAAAACTAATAAAATACGTGTTTTATAATAATTTCAGAGATATATTTTTGAAAAAATTTAAAATTAAATAAAAAAATACATCTAAAAATATAATTCCTAAACCTAACAACATTTAAGAAAACGCGTATAATGGTCCAGAGATTAACGAAAAAGTGATAAGAAATTCTCTAAATAAATCTCTTAATATGGCCCTTCATTAGGAGTGCCATCTGCCACCCTTGAGGCATACTTTTTTGAACCAAAAAATATGATGTAATGGCTGAAACACATACAGCGATTTTCTAAATGTCAAATTTTTTATGAATTGACGTTCCTTTCTATAAGTTGTATTTAAAGTTCAAAGTAATATTGTAATATGTAATGGCTGAAACACATGGACAACCATTTTTTAAATGTTGATTTTCTTTAAATGAATTTATGTTCTTTTTCTACGTTGTTTTTAAAGTTGAAAGTAATATTTATCCTCAATATAGTGTTTAGCAAATTAAAATTCCAACGCATCTATTTTACAACAAAATTATTTTATTAGAGAAACACTTTATCTTTCTCAAAATTAAGTTTGAATTTCAATATACGAAAATTTCAATATACGAAAATATCCTATTAAAATATGGATTTGAATCTTTAGATAAGCCATACATATTGGTTTTGTCATTTGTTTCATCACAAGATGATTAAAAATGATCTGAATTTGAATTTCAAAATTCAGACAAAATCTCAAGAAAATATTTGCATTGCATCCCTTTACAATAATTTTGAAGAAAATTTTTATTATTAATAAATTATATATTATAAGTCATTTTTAAATCATATCCACAATAAATCATACAAATTAATCATTTATTAATATGATTGAATTGTTGAACAAAATGTTGGTAACCCATTCATCAATCTTTATAAAATACAACACATTATACAAATTCTCAAAATATTAATATCAAAATACAAATTAAAATATCACTATTGGGTATATGTAATGGCTGCTTTGAGAATAATATCCTTATATTTAATATGTAATGGCTGCTTTGAGAATAATATCCTTATATTTAATATGTAATGGCTGCTTTGAGAATAATATCCTTATATTTAATGAGATCTCATGATTAAGTCACACTTAATGTTTCATTAAATGGACTAACTATTCCATGAACTTTATTATTTTAGAAAAAAAAACATATAAAAGAAATGTTTTTTTTATTATTAATAAATAATTCAATATAAGTACTAAAAATTATTGTCCTCTAGGGTTTTCACCAACACCATTAACATCTTAGCGGTGGATAGTGGCCGAAGCAACAACTGTGGGTCCCTAGGTATACCTTACAGATACCGAAACTAAGGTATATATGGATATATAAGTTGAGACCCACAAGCCAACCATCTAGAGTACCATAAGATCATACCCAAGGGTTGGGTTTGACAATCCTTAATGTACAATGTAAAACAGGTGTAATTCGGCACGATGCGGTCAAATGCAGTTCAGAACAACCCGATCACCTTGTTGCGATGCAAAATACATGAGCGAATAAATACTCTAATGACAATTTGTAACAGCCTATTTTCGGATTCTTCTTGCTTCCCCCGCGTCATATGGAAGTTCATTAGACTATAGAAAATGCAGTATGAGCGACATTAAGCTGGATTCAGGGATAATTTCTAGGGAGTACACCTCCTCTGCCTTGATACTAGGGGAGACGAGAATCTCCTGAATGACTATTTTGTTAAATCCCACTATCTTCGATGTGGTCAGCTTGAACAAAAGGTCTTCTATAAAGTTCTGCTCGCGGGGTGCGTGCTCTATTTCAAAAGATATGAAACGAGTGGATAAATTCAATACCTTTTATAGATATTTTATCATATGTGGCTCCTTGGCCTGGTACTTTCCAAAGGCTTGGTTTGTTACCAACTGGGAGTCACTTTTAATCGTCAATTTAGAGGAAGCTATTTGTAAGGTGAGGATCATTTGAGCAATGATGGCCTCGTACTCCACCTAGTTATTGATAGAGGTGAACTCAAAATTTAGTTCCTACTTGATGAGTATGTCACCAGGTTCTTCTAGGGCTATTATGACACCACTTGTTCTATGTTGGAGGCCCCATCTATAGATAGCACCCATTCGGTAGGCTTCT